AGTCATGAATCAGGTGCCACTCAGCCAGCGGGCCAATTGTTGCCAGCTCATTTCAAAATGGCAACGGCAACAGTAGCAGCAACAGCGACAGCAACAGCAACAACACACACATTCATTACAATTAATTAAATTAAAAAGCGCATAAATTCTGTCGTCCAGACATTAGCTACACCTTTTTTGCCTTTCAGCTTTCATGTTGCTAGTGCGGCTGGTTGTTGTTGTTGCTGCAGTGGCTGTGGCTGTTGCTGTTGTTGTCATTTAAATGCGCTACTAATAGCAAACAATTTCATTTATTTATTAGATGCTTAGTTTCACTTTCCGCGCATTTCACTGCGACACACATTACAATTTCTTCGCACAGCGCCAAACGAACGACTTAGGCAACGAACGCGAAAGTTTTACTATACATGCGTGTGTGTATGTCGCTGTGTGTGTTCATCAAAATAAATATTCAACTGCAGCTGATATTTCATATGGCTATAATGAGCATTCCATACAAATGAGCTGCACCTCACAAAAAAAAAGAAAAAAAAAAACAAAAACCTAAAACTCAACGGAATTCCAAAGCAAATGCATAAAATCAAGTATATAAATGTATATATATGTATATATATATATATATATATATATATATATATATATATATATATATATATATAAATGTATATACGTGTATTTATAGCTATATATGCATTACAGCTTCTTCTTTTGTGGGCTGACGCAAGTGCAGCTTTATAGAAATTTATTATCTTCAAGCTAGAAATTTCTACAAATCTGTCTATAAATATTTTATGATCATTGAGTCTATACTTTAAGCAAGTCGCGTAATTGTTTTCACTAATGAAAGCTTTTTCTTTTTATAAGTTTTATTTACACTCTTCTTTTCATAAGATTCTTATCAGATCTACATCAAGCTACAAACTTTTTCTCGTCAAAACTATAATTAAATCATTTATTAAAGTTTTCAAATCTAGATATATTAAGTTTCACATATAAGTGGCTATAATTCAGCTTGCAAAATCTTATTATACAATCTTCTTGAGGCTGAAAACTTACACATTCGATTGTTATAGATCGTTGCATAAGATTGATCGTTACTGATCTTTGATCTGCATGAACAAAGACAACTTTTGTATAACTGCTCAAGTTATCATTTGTTGAAGCATTTCTATGTATGGCTTTTGTTTAGCTTTCAGACTGATCGTGATTCTTTTGATCAAAGCGATCAAAGTTTCATTATGTCCAGCGTTGATTTTTACAACTTCTATAGGCTTTGATCGTTGATTGTCTCACTTTTATCTCTCTTTCTTGCATATGCTCAGGTGTGAAAAGATATCTAAGGAAAGCTAATGTTACCTTTTTGCCGATCTTTTGATCTTCAAATCTTCTGATCTTTGATTTCTCGATCGATTGCTCGACTTTTTGTGAGCCAGTTCTCTATGGAATGTCAGACTGAAATGTATTTCAATCGAGCAGAGTGTTTTGCTAATCCTCTATCGAAACCTGCTGGCATCTCATGCATTTATCGGTAAGCCCATATACAACTAAGCCCACTCACTCTCTCCCGCTAAGAGCTCGGATCAATCAGCGACCCACACAGACTGTCAGCTAAATCAGTAACGTCTTTTTCACTTGTGGAGTATCTGGCAAGGCCATTTTGCAGCTTGCGCAAGTTGTGCAGTGCCTCATTTCCATTTTCATTCCACACTTGCCTCTTTCCACACTCCACAGACATAGAGCGTGCCCCACTCCCGCGCTACGTGCCAAGGCGTCTGAAGATTGCACCTGAAATTTATTCAAAAGCCCAAAAATATAAAACCAACTCGAATTGCGTAAACTTGCGCGACTATTGAGAGCCAGTCCATGGAGCAAGTGCGCGACAATTGCGCAAAGCTTTTGCCCTCGACACTTTGTCGCACTCCCCAAATGAGCTCATTATCAATGAAAACACTAATCAAATTCATTAAGCGCTGATTAACGTAACTCCCGAAAGCAAAACATTGAAACGTTGTGCAAGGTAAACGATCAAAGCGAACTAAACGCAAGTTCATTCTCATGGAACTGAGGATCTGTTACACTTAGAGCTATCAAATTTGGTGGGTAAATAGCATATAAACCGATATAGTTAACTAGTGCTATAAGCGTGGTGGAGCACTTATAATACCCCTGATTATCAAAAATGTTCTCGAGGAACTCTGCATCTGTTTGAGCTTGAGTTATAAGAGCTAAACAATTTGATATGTGTATACAATGTGCAAAAATATAGCCAAGTTATTAATATTTGGCTTATGATAAAGAACATCATTTACTTAATTTTCACTAAAAGCTGTTACTCAAGGAACTCAGGATCTGTTCGTGCTATGAAAATTATTATGTGCACACTCATTGAAGTGATATAGTTAAATTTGACTATCAACAAAGAGATAGTTAATACTTCTGCCTATATTAAGTTAGTTTGTGCATTGCATAATGTTTGGCTTATGCAAGCAACTAGTTGGTAATGGATGAGAGGTAAAGGATACTTTAACATCTGGTCTGAGGCTTATCCCCACTCTCGACTGTTTTGCGGTTGCTGCGAGAGAAAGAGAGAGAGAGAGAGAGCGAGCGAGAGAGAGGGGGGAGGGGGAGCCAGCGAGAGTGAGACGCGAGTGCGGTTTGTCTGGCTGAAGTGCGTGATACACGCCTACGGCAGCCGCCTTTTTGGCTTCCTCAACTCTGTTAGTTTTGACTTCCTTGTTGGGCCAGTTTGTTGTTTGGCAGCGCTTATGTAAGGGCAAACGGGCAGCCGCCGCCTCGTTTGGGGGATTTTTGCTACAGACCGCAAAACTAATATTAATAATATGATGAAAAGAAAAAACTGATGTTTGCACGCATGCGCGCACAATGTGCCACGCCTCGAAAAAGACTGTGTGTGTGTGTGTGGTGCACAAATGAGCCGTGGCATCGACATGGGGCATCAACATAATAGCTCTTGTGAGTTATGTATCTTTGCATTGGTTAGATGCGAGCTTCGCTTTTCGCATTGCAATTAAAATCGCACAGCTTCCGCAATGCAATTTAATGATCATTACGTTAATGATCAGCATGAGCAGTAGTACAACAGCCCTGGCCATTATCGTATAGACCCACAGCAGCCAGTCATCCCATCATCTAATGTGGAAGGTACGTAATGCGCCGCCTCAGCTGCAGCTTCTTCCACAATGTTTTTTCCCCTTGTTTTGTTTTTGCCTTTTCACTTCGCTCTGTTTGCACTTTTACTTTTCTTATTGTCAACAATATCAACTACAATTGTGCTGAGAAAAAACTAGATATATATATAAGCATAACTATATGTATATATATTAAAAACTTTCCCATTTCAGGCAAATACAAAAACAACAAACTTGAAACCTTTTGTCCCTCCTTTTGTTGTTGTTGTTGTGAAATTTTTGGCTGGCCGTAAATTTTATTTTAATATCTTGTACGATTTGTTATTGTTGTTGTTATTAACGCCGCTAACCTCACTTTTTTCCTATCTATCTTTCTTTCATTTCTTCTTTTCTTGATTGCTTTAGTATTTTCTTGCGGGTTTTTCCGTCTCTTGTTTTTGATTTGTAATTTAAATTAATCTCTTTCAAAGCATTTCCCACAGTTTCAGTTTTTGTTTTTCACTGGCTCTAACGGGTTTCTGCTACGCTGATAAGACTCGAGTGTTTGGGACAGTTTTGTCAAAGCTTTTCGTTCCTTGGCAGGCAAAGTGCTTTCCTTTTATGCTGCGACAGCTATTGAGTTATGTCTTAATGGACTCGTTACGAACTTCCAAAACAAAACAAAAGAAAAGAAAAGAAAAGAAAAACGTTTTTGTTTTTGGAATAACAGTAAAAGTTAAAGCCACTTGTAAGCTGTTCTTTGTTCTCAAGTTCAAGGCGTCTCTACACCCTCTTTAGCGCTCTGTGTTTAACTGTAACTCAATCTGTTGCCACGTGCAGCAGCCCGGTTTGGTAATTGGAGATGAGAACGGCACAACAGGCTGCGCTGGTTGCCTTTCAGGCAGGTGACGCTGCCACGTGCAGCACCAACAGCGGCAGCAGCAGCAGCAAATTTGTTGCCTAAGTCTTTTGTTTTTTCCTTCGCTATTTCTTGTGACACATTTGGTTGTTCAGCGCAGTTGTTGCTGTTGCTGCTATTTCTGCTTGCTGACCCAAACAAACATCCGTTTCCTGCGGTCAACATTGCCGGACACGCCCACTAGCCAAATAGACTCGCATGCCCAGTATGCACAGTGTGCACTGGCTAAGGCGAACATGTGAGTCACATGGCTAGGAGGCTGAGGCAGCAAAAGTAATTAGACATATACTTTCAAGAAAGAGAGAGACATAAAGAGAGAGAGAGAGAGAGAGAGGTAGAAGGCTTTGTGTTCAATCGATTCAGATTTAAAGATATAAAGATTTGAGGGAATAGTAAGAACTATCTATGGAAGCTCTATATGTTTCATAGTTTCTCTTTAGAGTTGCTTTGTAATTAAAGTCGGTTCATGCTAGTGTGTGCTCACTGTACTTGCAATATGCATACTTGGACTTGGGGCCGTTTCTTCGTTTCATTTGTCGCGCGTATCCCACGAAACAATTAACGACCACAAAAGCTGACCGATATAAAGCGAGCCACAACAACAAGTTGACCAGTTGCCGGCACTTGACTGGACTCTGCTGCTGCTGCTGGCTTTATGAACGTGGGAAAAAAAGGTGCACAAATCTTTTGTTTCAAACAGAACCGGAAATCAAAAAAGTCAGCGACAAAAGTGTATGCAAAAAATTGACTTTAAAAACCCCTCCAAAAAAAATTAAAAATAAAATAAAAAAAAGATGAAGCCAAAGGCAGCAAGCAGAAGTAGCAGCAAGAGAAAATTTGTTTGGAATTTTTTTTTGCTTTTTTGTTTTTGTTATTTTGCGTCTTGGCAGCTGCTTCTCGGTTTCGCCGCTTCTCGGCTTTTCGTCTGTTCGTCTTTCGCTTGACACACTCACCTATATTCTGCGCCTGCGCCTGCGTCTGAGTCTGCGCTGACGTTAGCAGCAGCAGCAGCAGCAGCGGCAGCGACTGCGACTGCGTGCGTTGCATTTTGTCGCTCACTTGTTGATCTTCAGCTAGTGCCGCCTCGTCGTCTTCTTCTTCTACTGCTTATGTTTGTTTTCTTTCGTTGTATTTGTTTTTTTTTTTGTATTTTTTTTTTGGCAACTTTTCTTCTTCCAATTGGTTTTCACACTAATTTGTTATTATTGTATTTCTTGCAAAATTTTGTTTTCGTTGCTTTGTTTACACGAAACTTGTTGCTTGCTGTGCAGAAGTTACAAATGTTTCAACATGCCTGGACAGATAAAATCGTATATAGAAAAAGAACGGGAATTAGTCGAAGTTGAGTGCGAATTGGGCAAACAGGTGCGCGCCTGGAAAGTGTGTCAGTTCGCGCTCGACTCGTTTATCCTTGGCACACAATAAAAAAAAAAGAATTTAAAAAAATATTCAAAAAAAAAAAACGAAAACAAAATTGAAATAGCAATTAAATGAGCACAATTGGTAGATCACTAGGCGCGTACCGTTAGGCGCGTCAGACCGTTAGACGCGTTTTAAAATCGTGGTAGAAATGAGAAAACAACAAAAAAAAAATGAAAATTGTGATCGAACAGCCGCGATGTTCCGTTCGCTACGCGTTCTGCACGGCAACTGAAATCGTGGCCGAAGTCGAAGTCGAGCTTAAAGCGACTTAAAGTGCCGCAGCTCTCAGCGCACTCGCTCTCCCCCTCTTTCACTCTTCCAAGACGAAGCAGCGCACGCGCAACCGCAGCTAACCCGAAGCTGAAGACGATTTCTTTCACTTTTCACGTTTCGCTCTCTCGACTCTCTCGCTCGCTCGCTCTCTCTAATTTGGCAACTGTGTTCGCTGTGCGCGGTGCTTAATGGTAAAAAAAACCAACCGTCGTCTTGTGCAGCTCGAAAGCAACTGAAAGTTTGTGCTGTCGCGTTGTGCGTCTTGTAAGCTGTAAGCTGTAAGCTGTAAGCGTCGCACCGACTGCAGGCGCGGCGCTGCCAGCTGCGCTGCCACTTGCTGCGCTTTTTCCTTTTTTGTTTTGTTTTTGCTTTTGTTTTTGGCAAGTGGCAAAGCTTGCGAGCGCGAAGCTTAGGGCTTTCGATGCGCTTGCTCTATCGATCAATGGCAAATTGTTGGCAATTCGCTGGCCAAGAAAGTTGCCGTGGATGCCACAAAACGGTAATAACAACTAATACAGGTTATGCAACTGAGGCAACTGTGGCAACTGTGGCAACAGCTCGCCAAGTGCACCAAATTGCAGCCGCAGCTCGAATAATTCTTGGACTCTTGCAGATGCTGCATGCCGCATGCCGCATGCCGCATGCTGTGATGCCGTTGCACAAGCATTTGCATGCCACAACAACCGCTTTAAGTATGCCAAATGGTCAGCAAATTGGAGCAGCCGCCATCGATGCCACAAATTGGATCGTGCCACAAATCCCGGTTCAGCCAACGCACAATTTTTTCGTATGTGGGACAGCTGCCCTCCCCGCTCCCCCCTCTCCCTGCCTGTCCGCAAGCCAATGTGGATGCCCCCGCCACGCAGTCCAAAAACATAAAACCAAAACATGTTGCCAAACATGTTGCATGGCCATATATAAACTTATTTTTGTGGCTGTTGTCTGTGGCGCCTTTTGAGGCTAAAATGTGGCAATGGAAGCTGCTTAGAACTCTAAGCGAACTGATTAAGATATAACACAACTAGAGCTTACCAAGATTAGAGCACTTCTATTGCCTAGCAGCCTCAGCACTATATATATAACTAGAGGCAGACGAGCTGCAGTGCATGTTTAGCAGAATATGAGCTGAAAAAGTCTTAACTCTTTTGGTTTCAAATTTTGTAAATATGCTTGGCCATTAAGTGGGAGCTGAGCCTTATAAAATACTATAGGGCTATTTGCAATGAACTTTACCAGGTACTACGCACATATAAATATATATTAGTCAGTAATCCTTTCCAAGTATTTCTTTTTTCCAAGTTCAAGCATCTTCATTAATTTGCAATGAACCTTTGCCAAGCAGTTTACAAGGAAGATACAGATGTAAGTTTTTTCTGTTTATAGTCAAGCTTTAGATAACGGTTTCTTTTTCGTTAAATGCAAGTCTATAAAAAATTATGTGATATAAATATTAACCATTTACCACGAGTTTTACTAGCTACTATAAACTACTACAAGGTAGATCTATTTAGCTGTTAGGCTTACTTGTTTTTGTGTTGTTTTCATGCTCTAAGACATTAATAGTTACTATATTGGCAAAATCATTTACAATCAAGCTTGTCAGATAGTTTACAAGGCAGTTGCACATGTTTTCTCTTCATTTCATTGTAATCTTCTTTTAGCCAGAGCATTTAATTTGCAATTTAGCTTGCCAGTTAGCTTACAAGACAAGCATCTACAGGTTGAGGGGCTCAAATATTGTAGTAATTGTTTGAAATGAGCTTTGTCTGGTAGTTCACCAGGCAGATATATATCTATATTTATATATCTATTTTACAGTCAAGCAGTTCATCTTCTTCGCCAGCTCATAGAGAATACATAATTCCAGCTACTTCATATATGAGACTCTTTAATGTACCCGAACTTCTTCTGCTGTCAAAGCGCCGACTCATTCCCCCTTCAGAGATCATCTGGCATTTGATTGAGCTAATGTGCCAAGTAGCTTAGCTTAGTTTAGCTTATGGGCTGCTCTGTTCTGTTCTGTTCTGTTTTGCTGGATCTGTTCTAATAACTGGAATGAACCACATCATGCTTTGAGCTGAGTAAGTGAGTTTGGCCCCGCTTGGCTGTGTCTCTTGCTCAGCTCTCAGCTCTCGAGTCGTTCGCTTGGCGAATTGTCATCACATTTTTGCGTGTCGTTTGTGCTTTTAACCCAGTTTAAAATGCTGCTGCTGCTGCAGCGAGACAAAAATATAAAAAAAACATAGACAATGACAACGTTGCCGCAAGTGATGACAACAACTGCCTCGTTGATTGCAACATTTTGTTTAGCCAGCAGCCACTCATCAAGTTGTCCAACTGCCAATAGAACTGGGCGCAGCAGCTGCTCCAATTCAGTATTAAAGTTCGACAAAAAAACAAACAAACAAAGGAAAAAACTATTCTTCATTCGATTCTAACCTCATTCTGCGCAGTGGCGCCACCTGCAGCATGTTCTGCTGAGCTATATTGGAGAAGGTTAAGTTTCTTGAGTTTACTTTAAAAGCTTACTAATCTCATTTTTAGGCTGACTATTATTTACTAGAAGTTCCTGATTCCATTCGTTTCTAACCTAAACAGGCAAGTGGCGCCACCTGTCGTACATTTTGCTGAACATTCAATGATAAGATAAAAGGTTTCTTAATTGAATGTTTATTAAGAAACCTTTTATCTTATCATACCACGTACCAAAGTTAGTCTTGAAGAAATTTAGCCAAATACATGTTCGATTCCATGCATTCCCAGCATCAAGCGGGCAAAGTGTTTCAATTCCAATCATTCCTAACTTGAATACTTGTGTGGACCCGTCTGTTTTGGAAAACTCATTCCTATAAGCTCTGCTTATTTATGTTCTTAAGTAGACCGATTCCGCTCATTCCTAACCTCAGTTATTGTGTGGCGCCACCTATCGCGCACTTTACCTATTCCTAGTCCTTACAGATTCAGCTTGAGTTTTCACAAAAACTACAATTATTTAATGGTATTTCAATTCCAATCGTTCCCTCCTTTATACACAACATCAGTTTATTCTTCTTCCTCTTCTTTCGTATGTTTAAAATCCGCTTTTGTGCATTTTGCTGTAAGTGTTCATGGAATTGAGCAATAGAATAGGCTTGCATTCAATTTGGAACTGATTCTAGTGCGTGGCGCCATCTGTTGTTGGCCGGCAGAGGCTGAGGTGAAGCACACTGAATGCGCAGTTAACAGTTAACTAATCAAACTGTGTCTATCACTGCAGATCCATTTAATTAGACAATGAGGAAACGTCTTGTAACAGGCAAGTGGAAGGGGAGCTATAGGCGGGTACTGTTGATGGGCTGGTGGTGCCACCGCCCAATTGTTACGCTTGGTATATTGTTGATGGTGCTGGTGGTGCTGCTCAGTGCCCAGTGGTCAGTGGTCAGTGGTCAGTGGTCACTGTGCTTGTCTGTAGTTCGCCACGTGCGCCCATCGACGCCCACCCAGGAAATCAGCTGAACTGCGCACGCAACATCTTTGGGCCAAGAATGTTAACCAAGACCCACTACAACCACTCGCCATACCTCTGCCCCAGCCCCTGCCCCACCACGTGCCACTCGACTTCGCCGCAGCCGGCCAAGCACAACGAATTGCTGCATTTGCGTTCACGATGCTCAATTAAGAGTAAGCCCCGTTTTTGACTTCACTTCTCTACGCTCGCTCTCTCTCGCTCTTCTCATTGGCGGAGAGAGAGACAGAGAGAGATAGGGAGTCTACAGCCCCCCCTCTTTCATCCAATCCTCGCTTCATTTTCTATTTAGTGCTTTATTATTTTTAATTTCGAGCAAAGTCTGAAGATTAATGTTCTGAGTCGCTGCCTAACAGCTCCCAACTCCAGCTACCATATGTAGCATTGCTGCTGCTTCTAGATCTGCTTCTGCTTCTTCTTCTTGACTGTTTTCTTCTTCTTCTGCCATGGCTGCATGTGCAGCAGCTGCCTTGTAGCTGCACTGACTGCATTGCCACGAGCCAAATGCTTTGGGAAAAATGGGCTTACAATGTCTGCTCCATTTACATTTCCACTTCGAGGAGGGCAAGGGGAAGGGGTAAAGCAATCATCGAAACTATTGTGAATTGTTTTGTGGTGCGTTCAGAATAGATAGCAGATTAAACTGGAGGTAGCTTATTTCATTGCCTTTAGCATATAGTATGTTTATTGAGAAAGCTCTATTCATAATCACAAAAATAGCAAAGTCTTAGTGTTGAACAATGCTCAACAGACAGGGGCTGCTTAAAGACAGTGTTGAGAATATAATAGAAAAATAAAATGAATTTTGATTAGTTTTGTTTAATTCAATTACTCAATAAGAAGCAGAAAAGGAGATGACATGAGAGTGGCCCAGCTGTAGGTGCAAGACTAGAGGATACCCTGAACTGCTTGATAGGCCAAGAGAGAGAGAGAGAAAGGGCGAG